AACAATAACAGCATTAATGAGGCTGAGGCAGGAGCATGGCCAATTTGAAGCCAGTCTGGCCCGCATAGCAAGTTCCAAACCAGTTCTGGTGAGATTACCTCTAAAAAGAAATGATATGTAAACATATATAAAAGATATATAAATATATATACAAGTTATAAACTCTTGGAAAGTGTTTGGGTTCATGTCTTTTTAAACTCAGGAGCTCTCACTCATTTTTCAGACAACTTTGAGAGCCACATTAATGACTTACAAATATGAGCATATATGTTGATTTAATACATAACGCACACACAAAAAAAAAAAAACAATTTTCAGATTTTATCATTTGCTAGCTCTTCAAAAAGTGTTTCTTTCTTTCCTTTATCAACCCGATCATTTCCTCCATGACACAAGCGACCCTTAGTCTCACATCTGCTTTTCTAAATCCTGGCTGAAACAAGGAAAACCTAAGTCAGAGAGAAGCAAAAATTAGCCCAAAGGCCTCCTGTCTGAGAAGGGGGTAGAGGATTAGTGCAACTAGGTGAAGGTGTACATGCTTACTGTAAATATAATTGATGGCCAGTGGTTAAGGGCACTGGCTACTCTTACAGAGGACCAGAGTTCAATTTCCAGCACCCACATGGCCGCTACCAGCTGCCCGTCACTCCAGTTTCAGGGGATCCAACTCCCTCTTCTGGTGTCTGCAGAAACTGTATGCGTGTGATATGTGGCCATACACGCAGGCAGAGTAACCGTGTGCATAAAATAAAACCCAATAAAAATGAGGAAGAGACAGAATAAGGAAGAACTATCTACTTGACTGTTCTGGCTAACCTCAGTTGGTTTGTTGTTTTGAGACAGTTATCCCTATGTAACCCGGGCTAACCTCCAAGAATTAAACATCTTACCTCAGCCTCCCACCGCTGGGGTTACAGGCCTGGACCACCACCACTTCACCCTGCTTGAATCTTTTTGTTTGTTTGCTTTTAATCTCTCCAGTGAGTAGGGTAAAGAGTATTTTCTGTGCCTATCCAACTTGGGAAAGCCTCCTTTGACCTTTCTAAAGTTTTCTCTTCGTGTTATAATTTATTGCAGGTTTCATTCATTTTAGGAAGAATGTGTGCTTAAACCCATCGCAGTTAGCAACTGGATACCCTAAAGGTGAGTCTTGCTGAGTCCTGGGAGGTTCCCCAGGTATTCAACCTATTGGTCCTGACCCCTTTGGGAGGTCAAATGACCCTATCACAAGTGTTGCATATCACATTACAGTTCATAACTGTAGCAAAATTTTGTTGCTACTACTTACGGAGTAGCAACAAAAATAACTTTATGTTTGGGGTCAGCGCAACAACAGGAACTGTATTAAAAGGGTCGCAGGACTAGGAAGGTTGAGAACCACTGCTCTAGAGCTAACAACTAAATGTGTAATGAACACACCTATCGCACAGAATAGTCTCAGCAGAGAGTGTGTCATTGGAACGCTATTCAGCTCATTAACAAGAGTAAGAGTAAGGTGTTAAAACCAGATAAACTGATTTACAAGTGAACTCACAACTACTCAGTGCAGTGAACAATTGCTTCTCCACTGGGCAAAACCGACTTGCACTGTGAATCACGTTCATTGCTACCAGTTTCCCGCAAGCTACACTTACAAAAAAATAAAAATAAAAATAAAAAGTCTAGCCAGGCACGGTGGTGCATGCCTGTAGTCCCAGCCAGCACTCAGGGAGGCAGAGGCAGGTAGAACTCTATAAGTTCGATGACAGCCTGGTCTACAAGGCTACACAGAGAAACCCTGTCTTGAAACAAAACAAAACAAACTCTTTCCTGACTGAATACAAAGCTTCCCTCCCTCATACAGTCAGTTCCTTTCCTATGGCAGCTTTGATTTTTGTCATGACCAACAAGCCCAATGCATCATGATACCATCAGCTGTCAGACTAGATGAAACCTGTTCACTGTCCCAAACACAAAGACTTCTACCCGGTCACTAGCATCATAGTGCCTTCAGGTGAGTAGGGAAAGGTCAGGCATTTCCAAAACAAAATTAGTAGATCTAAGGGAGTCCTCTGGTGGGAAATAAGGAGCATCCAGTGTTCAGTAATCTTCTGCCATTGCTCTAGACTGGTGTTTTGCTTTAACAAGACAGTGTTTAGCTTTGCGAATGAGTCTGGAAGAAAATCCATTAAAAACTGGTCCTGATGTTGCAGAAGCCTGGTGGCCCTCTTTGATGTGAGTGGCCGGGGACTTTTGAGAGGCTTAGTTTTCTTTCAGTCTTCTCCAACTTCAAACTGTATTTTCTTTTATTAAATAGCTATTAATAACAGACATGTAGATTTGTTTCTTTGTAACCTGTCACAGTCTTCTGCAGGAGAGCGAGGCATTGGTTGCAGCAGCTGGGGTCTAGAGGTCCTTTCTAGAGACCTCTATTGAGATAAAGCAGGAAACTTGTCTTCAGAATGAGGTGAAGTTGGAGTTTATTAAGACAAGGCCTTAACATTTGCCACTCTTCCAGTGGACCTGAGAATCTGTGTTCAGAAGCTCAGAAAGGCCTGCAACCCCAGATCCAGGGGTTCTGACACTCTTTTCTAGACTCCAAGGGCACCATCACACATATATTAGTCATGAACACACAGACACACAATACACATGAAAAATTTTTAATTTAAAAATGAATTCCTTTAAAAAAAAAAAAAGGTTTTAATACAGATTTAAGCCCTGGGATGGGGCAGGCAGGCACCCACATAGCACACGCGTGTGCACATGCCACAGTCACACACACACACACACACACACACACACACACTCTTTAGCACAAGACACCCAAGACCTGGACATCCTGAATCTCAAGAAAGAGTGTGCCTTCTGGGTGTGGTAGGGAACACCTTTAATCCCAGCCCCTGGGGAGACAAGTCAGGTGGACCTGTGTGTTTGGGGTCAGCCTGGTATATGCAGGGAGTGCCAGGCCAGACAGACAGACATAGGCAGATCCAGTTTAAAAAGAGAAAGGGAGGAAGGAAGGGAGGGAGGGAGGAAGGAAGGAAGGAAGGAAGGAATGGAGGAATGGAGGGAGGGGACAGTTAAGTGTCTTAACAATAGCCACATGTGCAATTTTCCTGGCTTCTAAAGTTACATTGTTTAAAGGGTAGGTATCCACGTAAAACTGATTCTAGGACCCCTAAGGAGCCCAAATCCTGGAAGCACGAGTCCCTTCTTTAACATAGTATAGTATTTGCAGATAAGCTATGCCACCTATTTTAGTTAGTTAGTTTTTTTTTTTTGTTTGTTTGTTTGTTTTTTTTTTTTTTTTTTTTTGAGACAGGGTTTCTCTGTGTAGCCTTGGCTGCCCTGGACTCACTTTGTAGACCAGGCTGGCCTCAAACTCACAAGCGATCCACCTGCCTCAGCTCCCCCAAGTGCTGGGATTAAAGGCGTGTGCCGCTGGCCGGCTTATATCACCTATTTTAAATGGTCTCTAGATGAGTTATAATACCTAACTCTGTCAAAAGTGGCACAAGCTGAAGTTGACAGAGAGGAAGGAACCGCACGCAACTGAGAAAATGCCTCCGTAAGATGGACTGTAGGCAAGCCTGTAGGGCATTTTTCTAAATTAACGGCTGATGGGGGAGGGCCCAGGCCAGTGTGGGTGGGGCCATCCCTGGGCTGGCGGTCATGAGTTCTATGAGAAAGCAGGCTGAACAAGCCATGGGGAGCAAGCCAGTAAGCAGCACCCCTCCATGGCCTCTGCATCAGCTCCTTCCTGCCTCCAGCTTCCTGCCCTCCCTGCTTTTGTTATATGGAACTGAGTGAAATAAACCCTTTCCTCCCCAAGCTCCTTTTGGTAATGGTGTTTCACCACAGCCATAGTGACCCTATGTAAGGCTGAGACCAATCCAATGTAAATGCTGTAGAAGCAAGTAATTGTATTGTTTAGGAAATAACGTGGAGGGGGGAAAAGTCTGTTTTCAAAATAGACACAACTTGGAGGAAGTTGTTTGGATGGAGGTTGGTTGAACAGGCAGCTGTGGGAGAGCTCTCCACTCGCGGAGAGCCAGCTGTCTTTCTAACTTTATCTCTACTGTCTTTGTGAAGTCTCCGACGGAAAGCGCTCAGTTTCTAGAAAAGGAAGACACTAGAAAGTGTCTGATAACATCAAAGCAGCGATAAAACTTAAACATCTTAAGCCTCGCCCTCGCGCTCCAGGGCCTGTAGCAAGGAGGCTAGTGCTTTCACCACTGAAGCAAACTCCAGCGAGGATGGAAAGTAGTCATGGCCTTCCAACCTCACAGGGAACGAAACAGATGAGCCCGTGTGACGGGGTAACTTCCCCAGGCCTCGGGACTAAATCAGCGTCAGGGACTGCTTGCCCCACCCTTCTGTCTGGCTATGCTGACGTCATCCACGGGGGTGTGTACGTAAGGAATCTCTTCTCTAGCTCCCAAGTGTATAGCATCCGTGGGGTCCAGGGAAGAACAAGAGGGTCTTTCACCACTACCACCTCCGAGAAAAGTCCAGTGCGGCGAACAAAGCGCCCACGTGCGCATGCGTACCGCAGAAAGGCAGTGATCCTGCAGTAGCATCATCGGAGTACAAGGAGACCCCTGCTTGGGATCCCGCATCCTGCAGTCGTTTCTCCAGAGTAGTGCCTGGGACACCAGCTTCCATCATCTGACTCATCTGACCTGTGCCCCTTGTAGAGGGCCTTGCTGACCAAGACCAAGGTCGAGTCACCTCAGCCCAGGCCCCACGCCCACCTATTGGAAAGATCTCCAGCTGTACCTGAGAGAAAAGGGAAAGAGAGGAAGAAGGAGACACCTGGGCCAGGAAAAGCCTGCAGCTGGGACCCACACTGGTCCAGAAGGCAAGTCTGGCCACCAGATGAAGAGAGAGCCAATAGAAAGGTTCTGCCTGGAGGCGTGAGGAGGGTGTTGTCTGCACGTGTGCCCTCCTTCCCCCAGAGCACCAAATCCGGTCCTTCTGGACTACTGCCAGGCTTCTGCCTCCGTCTCCTCGTAAGGGTGCAGAGGGCAGGCCATTGGCGCGGGACAGCAGAACCTGCAGCCTCCGGCCATGGCGGGACCTGAGTGGCAGTCCCTGGAGCAGTGCTTGGAAAAGCACTTGCCACCCGATGATTTGGACCAGGTGAAGCGAATTCTCTATGGCAAGCAGACGAGGTCAGAGGCCCAGCGGCTGAGTTTGGGGGATTTGGAGGCACTGTGGGTGGGCTGGGGGGGGAGGGAGCAAGGGGAGGGCTTCTGGGATTCAAAAGGCTCTGTGGGCGCAGTGATGAAGAAGCCCTTCAGGCTCACAGAGGCCACAGGTCCGGTGTGATGGCGATCTTTAGGGAGTGACCCTTACAAACTGCCTGTTCCAGGGACACACCACTCGCCCAACCCTCGCCTAGTGTGGGACAAAACAGGGAAGAAAGGGAATTTGTCTCTTCAGGCTAGCTCTGTGGTCACCCCAACTCTCCTCCCCTCCAGGAGCTCCCAGCTTTGACTCAGGTCCCAGCTTTTATCTGTCCTATGCCCCCAACTAGGGTCCCCTGAAACCTCCCTCCTTCCTGCTGTGACCTAGCAGCTCTGAGATGGAGGCCTACTGGATCAAACTGGCTAAGGGAACTTCCAGACTGTGGAGGCAGGAGAGTTGTTAGCACACGCTTTCCCATACTGGGCAAGCTGGCAGCAGATCACCAGATTATTTTATTTTATTTTAGAGTGTTGCTTGTTGGGCATCTGGCAGAACAGAGCTGCCAGATAAAATACGCCCCCCACCCCTGACTTTCTTTTCAATCCTCCCTGCCACCCACCTGGGAAGCAACCAGAAGGTTGCAGAAGGTGGTCTTCAAATGGGCCATGTCCTTGTCCTTTGCATAAAAACCCTGTAAGGGGGTTTTTCTAGGCTGTTAGGATGAAATGTGAACTCTGATCTTGCTAAATCTCTATCCAGTTGCTTGCTTAAATTGGCCTGTTCGGGCATTCTCCGGTCTAGCTTGTTTGTTTGCTCTAGGACTGTGTGCCAGTGACCTCGAATTAGGACCTTGATCCCCTGAAGATATCGGTGTCTAAATCAGTAATTCCTGGAACCCTTAGGATTCCTGCAGGGAGGCCCGATGATCCACTAAGTCTACCACAACATGTAGATGGTAGAACAACCTCACTGGTGTTTTGACAACCCCCCCCCCAACCAAAAGCCTTTCTATAAGTTGTACTGGGCTAGATGACCCCAGAATGCTCTACTTTCTACTGTATTTACAGTATCAGTCAGTCAAACGGCAGTCAGTCATACGGGTGGGTGATAGCTCAGTGGCCTGCGGGGCATGCCAGAGGCCTGGGTTTCCACAACCCCATACAAAATCCCCCCAAACATCAGCAGCAGCACATCAGTCACAAGAGAAGTATTAGAACCGAGGCTCCCCAAGAAGGATTTTTCCTTTTTTATCTGAAGCAAGGGGTGTCTTACCCCAATTTCTAGAGAAGGAAATTGCTCTGCTCTAAGGATAAAGAAAGCATGTTCTCCTGGAATTGAGTAAATTTGTTGATGTCAGAGGTTAAAAAAAAAAGGTCGAGAGGCATGATGAAGAAAGAAATGTTTCCCACAGAGGCAGCTGGGCATACATTCTGGGTAAGGCTGAGGCCAGGCCAAGGGTGACCAAGGGAGAAGGGCTGTATCAGCATTTGAGGAACCACAGAGTAGGGAAAATTTGTAACTGAGAGTAAAGTGCCAGCCTGTGACTGACTACCAGGCCCTGACCCTGGGGTCTGGCCCCCAGTAGCTGAACCGAGTGCCTTGGCTTGTTTTCCATTCTTCTCTTGGGTTTTGTTCCCCTGACGACCTTTTCATGTTTTATCTCTTGAGGTGTAAACTTTCATACATGCTTAATTCTTATGCTTGGGTGGGGTTTGGCTATGAATAGAATTTTCAACGGAAGAAAGACAATTATTCTTTCTTTAAAATACTTTAAAACTCCTCCCACTGAAACTCTTGTTCATTCTTCAGAGGCCAGCTTGTACCTGGCTATTTCCCCAGTCAGCTTAGCTCCAGATTTCTTGCTGGGTCTAATATACTGACGAAGCCTATTAAATATTTACTGAGTGAGAGGGTTACATGAGCGAGGGTTGCCTACACCAGACAAATGAGATCCCCAAAGAGCAGAACCAAGAAGGGTTCACTAATCCCTTAAACATTTGTCGCTCACTTTTTTTTGCATAGAACATTAGAGGGACCATTAGTAACACATGATTTCTGCCCATGCAGAGGAGGGCTCTCTTTGTTTATTATTTTATCTTATTTTTTGCTGGTGGTGCTGAGACCCAGACTCAGGGTTTCCTTCATGCCAGGCAAGCGCTGAACGTGGCTACACAGATACCAGAATCTGACCAAATGCCTTAAGGAACAGCTAGGAACATAAATTAAATGTACAGAAACCCACTTTTTTGAATGTATGAAGGACTTCACAGAAGTGAAACCTGAATGTTCAGAACATCACTCACAGAAATATTAAAGAATGACACAAGGGACATCCGTGAGGTTTCAGGAATATCATATTGAGCGGAATGAAGCCTTGGAAGCCAAGACAGGACTCCTTGGTCAACCATGATAGGGACTTCACTAAGAAATTGCCGTTTTCATCTGGTAGAATTCCCCGAAGGCAGTAGGACCCATAGTAAGCCATCTGTCATGACTGATGAATGGAAACCATTGGAGAGAACTAACTTGCTGTTCAACAGAAATCATCAAAACAGGAGGTCTTATTCAGTGAAAATGGTAGAACGCAACATTTGGGGTGGGGCTTAAAAGTTTAAAGTTCAACTGCTTGATCACTTGAATTAGAAAAAAATATATACCATCATGGTCCATTCTAACTTAAAGCCGGCAACACAGTTACTGGTTATCACTCTCAAGTGTTGTGTTCTGTCCGTAACTGCATAAGCCGGACTTTTCCACGACTGCTATACTGTGGGAGCGTGTGCCAGGATCACTGCAAACACAGTGATATAATGTACTGTGAGGGCAGGACAACTGGGACGTCACAAGGTGACAGGAGCTTCCCGGGTCCACTAGAGTCATAGGGGACTGAAGTAATCTCTGCAGTCCCTCGCTGACAGAAGAGTCACGCTGTTCACATGCCTCCGTGTACCAGGTACGATGGGCAAGATGATGAGGAGGAAAGGCAGAGTGTTGCCAGCACGTGTGTACTTTCTGAACCTCTTTGGAAGGATGCACAAAACGTTGACGGGGCTCGCTTTGAGCTTTGGATCCACAGTGTGGAGAAGATTTATTTCTCGTTTTCTTTCCCCCGTGCTGTGGTTTCCAGACACACGTTTCCTTTGTAACGGTGTTTTAGTTTAATAATTTAAAGTACTAATGGCAAAGAGCCACTAGAGGAAGAGAGATGAAGTTTCCAAAGTGAGAGGGTGCTGAGGAAGCGGAAGCCTAGGGCCCTTAAGCAAGGTCTACCTCGACTCTCGTAAGGAGGGGCACCTAGAAGTGTGTGTGCTGGAGCCGGGTAACAAAGCCTTCCTCCTTGAAGCTGAGGGAGAGCAGAGGGGAGCTGAGGGTCTCCATCGCAAGAGAGGAAGAGAAGCTGAAACCAAGTACAACTGTGGCTCTCAACCTGTGGGTCTTGGGTCATATATCAGATATCCTGCCTATCAGATATTTTCATTAGGACTCATAACGGTAGCGAAATTACAGTTATGAAGTGGCCACAGAATAATTTTAGGGTTGGGCATCACCACAACGTGAGGAACTGTATTAAAGGGTTGCAGCACTGGGAAGGTTGAGAACCACTGAACTACTACAGGGACGGATAGCTGTATGCAGCATGGGACGCTGCAAGTTCGAGGCCAGCCTGGTCTACAGAGTGAGTTCCAGGATAGCCAGGGCTACACAGAGAAAACCTGTCTCAAAAAAAAAACCAAAAAAAAACAAAACACAAAACCATATATATATATGTGTGTGTGTGTATACATAAATATCACACATATACATATGTGTCTATGTTTATATACATTATACACATATATTTCTGGATTTACAAATGGCAACTTCTTTAGCAGGAGTGCTAACGCCTCTGTAGCGGGTCCAAGCTCACAGTGTACTCACACGAGGCCCTCTTAGATTTAGGATTTCCGTATTTCCAATGATGGTGGGAGGCACGCATTCAGCCGCTCACAGTGTCCACGCATTGTCCCACAGACTGTGGAGGAAACCAAACCATTCCTGGAGTGTAGAGCTGGGACTCCTGAAGGCAAGCAGGGTAGGGAGTGAGGATTTACAAGTTGGAATAACAGGGTGGCAGGGCGATCTCATAAGCGGCAACCATAAAAAAAAAAAAAAAAAAAAAGGCGTCATCAAGAAGATACAGAACACAGAACGCTATGGCCAAAAGGCAGGTGGCCTGGAGCGTGGAGCAGCCGGGACCGCCTCCCCTCAGGTTCAAGAAACAGTATCTGCAGGGAGGTGGGAAGGAACAACTGTTCTCACCAAGGAAGAGTTCCCAGGGCCTGAGACCCACAGGCAGGGCCCCTTCCCCCAGGGTGGGAAGACTCTGAGGCATCACAGTGAGGGGAGGCCACGTGTGGGCCCTGCAGCTATTTCTAATCTGCCAGGGGAAAGGGAGCCTTGACTGCTTGAAAAGCAGGCTGATTGTCAGGGGCGGAACCCAGCTCAGAGCTGTCATGGAAGCTCCTGGCAGGGGGTGGAGACAGGGGGCTTGGACTGACAGGGCTGTGATTTGGAAAGAGACATCTTGAAGAGAGTGACTTCAAGTAGGAGAGGAATATGATGATTAGGTAACGCCTGTCAGGTTATTTTTTGATGTGTTCTTGGCATTTCATAATCAGCTTGCCCGTAGATGGTAAGCCCTTCCTGGGCCTGGGCCATGAACTGTGCCCCTGGGGTTTCACCCCAGCCCTGGACATGAGCAGGCATCGGGAGGGATTTGCTGCCTGACCCGTGGTCTCTGTGGTGGAAAGTAAATAATCCCCTAGCCGTTAGTGATGAACCACAAATGTGGGTAAACCTTTATACCTGCGCCCTTTCACACTCACCCAGCAGCCGCTCCGCACCAGGCATGAACTAGCTGAAGTATGGAGAAGAAGGCTGTGGGATGGCCACCTGAAATACAGCTTCCTGAGGGGCAAATGAGTACAGAGCCTCTCTTTTCTAGAACCTCCTGGCCTCCACCCATCCTGTCTCCTGAGCCCCCTAACCCTAGCCCCTCTTGGTAGCTCAGCTACCCCACACTCTAGGATCCAAACAGCCCTCTGATCCTGGTTCAAAAACGTTTTTTTAGGAGCCAGTTCCTTCCTGTCTGTACTGGCCACTGGGACTTCAGTCTTTGCCCTGATCCTGTGTAGCTGCAAACTCTAGCCTGTTGATTTAGAAAACTGCCTCCCTTTGCCAGACCTAGTCAGGACTGGCCATGTGCTGGAAGCTTTCCCAACAAGATACCCTACACTGCTTCTTTATCGGAGAAACAACTACAGAGCATTAGGGGATTTTTTTTTTTTCAGTGTTGGGTCTGACCCAGGGCTTCACACATGGTCTGACCTCCCTTCCCCCCAAGGGGCGGGGCATTAACTAGATCAGACTCTTAGAAGCCTTTCTCTCTCTCTTCTCTCTTGCCTTTTCAGGAATCTCGATCTGCCCAGAAAAGCTTTAGAAGCCGCCTCCGAGAGAAACTTTGAGCTAAAGGGATACGCCTTCGGGGCAGCCAAGGAGCAGCAGAGATGCCCGCGGGTCGTGCGCGTGGGGCTGGTTCAGAACAGGATCCCGCTCCCCACTTCCGCCCCTGTGGCAGAACAGGTGCTGTCTTTTTTTTTTTTTTTTTCTTCACACATAAATGGGGCTCTGGCTTGTCCTGCTGTGCAGTCAGGGGCTGAACTGAGGGCTGCTGCCAGGGTTCCTGAAGGGCAGCTGGCTCACTCCCCTCTGTCCTTCCTTCCAGTCTGATCCCCAGCTCTTCTCTTCCCGCTCTGGCCCTTTCTCCTCTTCTCAGACCTTGCTCATCTTTCTACCCACCCGTCAGCGGTTCCTACCACTCCTCTGAAATTTCATTTGCCAACTGGGGGAGCGCCCCTTTGGCAGCTCCAGCTCTCTCCGAGGATGCCTCCTGGAGCTCAGGGCCCGAGCACTGACCTCTGTCACACCCGGGTTTTCTGCTCATCATAAAGCCCGGAGCTCACTCTGCCCAGAGTGTTTTCTAATGTGGGTCTCTGTGCTTGCTAAGAGTCCCACAGGCTGTGAGAATCTGGTAGACATTCCTTTACCGTATAGTTAATCAACGTGGTAGTATTTTATAGTTCCTTAAAATATCACATCACGGATGCAGGCAGTTTGCTTATACAGCTGTATAAGTATATGGCGGTAGTTCTTTGTTTTGTTTTTGTTTTTTTAAAAAAAGCAGTTTTTCTGGAACTTTGGTGGCATTGTCTGTAGAGATTACCTCAGCACACGTGGTAGTTCTTAAGGGTTTTCAGGAAACCTCGGGTCACTTGAATTCCAGGCCAGACTGGCCCTACACTTCCATGTATATGAAAAAAGGATAAAAGGGGACACACACACACACACACACACACACACACGATGTGATTCTCAGTTCACCATTCTCCCTGGGCTTGCTGTTTGTAAACAACTCTACATTGTCAGGCTATAAACACAGGGACATTCTCACCAACATGGCCCCTGGAAGCTTGCTCTGCATCTTGATGGTGCTTCGCAAACACACATTCCTATGCCTGAGTGGCGCTCACAGCCTCTTGGGAAGAGACTGTGAGCGTGAGGACATAGGAAAGGATGTGCTCCTTGGATTTTCAGCCTGGCCTTCTGGGCTCTTAAAAAAATTATTATTAATTAACATTATCTTATTGCCTTCTGGGAGCCAGACCCTTTGCTGAGGACACAGATGACAAGAATGTTTCTTCCTTCTCTGGAGGAGCATGCAGGGTCCTCTGAGTGACAAACAAGAGAGGAACCATAGCACCACAGTAGTATTGCCACAGGGGTGCCTGAAAAGAGCTGAGAGAGTTTATGGGGGGTGACGTGGGACAGGGGTACCACCTTCTGGAAGAGAGGAGAAGGAGGCACACTCCCGGCCAAGAACACATCCCAGTACATTTAAGATGTAAACCAGCCAGAAAGCCACGTCTTAGCAGACAGCAGATGTGAGTACAGGATGGCACAGGGCGGGCTGCCCTTCATTCAGAGAGCAGCTGGCCTAGGGTGTGGCACGGTTGTGTGTTGGGGAGTGTGTCTGTATATGGGCACACTCCTGCCGTGCATACTGGAAGTACAGCCACACCATGAGACCAGTGTTGTTTCTCCATCATGGGGGTGGGGGGAGGGAGGTAGGATAGGGTGGGATGGGGGATGGTGTATGAAGGATAAAGGGTGGGGAGGGGTCAGGGTTCATGTCTGCGGGAGCCCAGAGCTGCTTTTCTTCCATCTGTCTTGCAGGTTTTAGTCTGATGAAAATAGCAAACAGGTCACAAACCTCCCACCCACCTCTTTTCCCTTTGCACATGGTCAGGCGGGAGTTTTGAGGTCCCGTTGGGACAGATTCCTTTAAGTTGTCTCAACAACAGTGGTGACTCTAGGCTAATCTTTGCTTTTTAAATTGCCAGGTCTCTGCCCTCCACAAGCGCATAGAGGCTATTGCCGAGGTAGCCGCCATGTGTGAAGTCAACATCATTTGTTTCCAGGAAGCATGGAGTGAGTCTCGATCATGGTTCTATCCCAACCCCCTTTCCACCGCTGGGCATCCTCTCTCAAGAGTATCTACTGCCTGGGGTCTTTGTGTTTTGTTTTGAATCTCTGAATCTCCTCCTTTCTTTCTTTTTTTTTCTTTTTTTTTTTTTTTTTTTTTTTTTTTGAGAGAGAGGGTTTCTCTGCATAGCCCCGACTGCCCTGGAACTTTTTTTGTAGACCAACTCTGGCCTCTACTCATGGAGAACCACCTGCCTCTGCCTTCCGTGTGCTGGGATTAAAGGTGTGCGCTCCGGAACCCCTGCCACCGCCACCACCAGGCTTTTTTTTTTTTTTTTTTTTTTTTTAAAGACGGTAGCTGGCTAAGTACCTTTGGCTAGCCTGAAACTTGCAACAACTCTCCTGCCTCTGCCTCTCAAGAGCTGGGATTCCAAGCATGTGCCGGGAGGGCTGGCCTAGACAATGTATCTGACAACACTAGAAACCAAAGCGCCGGATCTCCCGGTTGTTCACCCCTCCCACCCCTCCCCGCCTCTACGATGGCCGATCCAGGTGAAATCACCGGTAGCCAGGTCTTTTCTCTTTTAGCACTGAGGGACCCAACCATGGGCCATGCACATGTGAAGTACAGGCTTCCCCCACTGAGCATCATCCAGACTCTCCTCGGCTCTTGTGAATTCCTTCCAGCTAGTCTCTTTGGTCCCATGTACTCTTTTTTTTTTTTTTCCCCCATGTTATTTCCTATGTTTTCGTTGTCAGGGAGAGAAAATGAGCCCGTGGTCTATTATCAAAAAAATAATAATATTAATGAAATAAAAGTAAGTGTTCTGAGCCTGGTGGTGGTGGCAGCGGCGGCGGCGGCGGCGCACACCTTTGATCCTAGTGCTCAGGAGGCAGGCAGAACTCTGTGGGTTCGAGGACAGCCTGGTCTACAGAGCAAGTTCCAGGACAGCCAGGGCTACCCAGAGAAGCCTTCTCTCAAAAAACAGAAAGAAAAGAAAAGTAAGTGGAGTAAGTGTTTTCCAAGAGAATACTTTCAATACTTGGAATTTCTTTTCTTTCTGTAGCTGCTTTTTAATTTTCTGCTTTTCGGACATTTATTTGTGTTGTGTCTGTACTTGTACACACATGGTTCGTCGTCTGGGGGTCAGAGGACAACCTGTGGGAACCTCCCTTCAGCACGCGGGGCCTGCAGGTTGACCTCAGCTTGTCAGGCAGACCCCTTTGTCCGCTGAGTCCCCCTGTCAGTCCCCCGATTCTTCAGTTCTATATCATCCGAACCCCCTTCACCACAGCAAAGACAACTGTCCTCTGCACATGTACATCCTCCCCGCTTAGCCCCATTCCATCTCCGCCATGTTTGGTTTTCCTGAATCACTATTTTCCCTACGGCCTGCTCTGTGTTCTGATGCAAGCTCTGCCCTACGCTTTCTATCAGTTTCTAAATCCCCTTACCCTGTTTAAGCGGTCTATCAAGTCCATCTCAGAAAGAGTCCACCAGGCTTCCTCGCTTTGGTCTGAATTAGTTGCCCCCTCTGCTGGCCACTCAGAGATACCCTGGGGATCTTCCTTCACCACGAGGGAGCCAGCCTTGGTTCTCTTCTGCTTACTTCAGCTGGCTTCCCTGAGAAGAGGCATGAGCCTCATAATACCTGGGTATATGTACAACTTGCCTGGCAGTTTTGATAAACACCAATGTCGAGGTTAGATATTATTTTTGTTCGGAAGTTTGAACACACTGTCCCACCAACCTCTTGCATTGGGCGCCTCTTGACTGACTCAAAGCCACTTAGATTTACGACCCATTCACTGTCTTTGATTTGTTTGTTTCTCTCTGGAAGACTGCAGGTCTTCTAGAAACTAGACTGCTAGTTTTGTAAGGGTGGACCTTTTTCAATCTCTTCTTCTAGATGCTTACAGGAGTCTTTCAGTATGGATTCTTTGGTTTTCCTATGTTTTTGTTTTGTTTTGTTTTTGTATTCTTTTATTCTTGGCAAAAAAGAAAATTTATAACGTTAGAGGATTTGGCTTTTTGTTTTGTTTTGTTTGTTGAGACAGGGTCTCACTCTGTAGCCCTGGCTGTCCTGAAATGCTCTATGTAGACCAGGCTGGCCTCAAACTCACTTGCTTCTGTCTCCCCCCAGTGCTAGAATTAGAGGTATGTGCCACAACACCAGCTATTTTAGAGTCTTTAATTAATTTTATTCTAGAATCAGGCTATACTTCTAGAAGAGGGGACCAGGCATTTCATACTATTTTCCTTGTAAATTTGGGACAAGGAGAACAGAAACTGAGATGTAGCCTCAGGGTCCTTGTGCATACTGTGTGTGTGTGTGTGTGTGTGTGTCGGTGGAAGCAGAGGGAGTGATTCTGAGACTGGCTGTTGGGGAAAGCTGGCTGCCATCTCTTTCCAAAATAGGTGATGAACAACTGAGTTGCTACTTGGTGTCATGACCTTTGGTGTGAGCGATGTCATCCTGAGGTTTAGTCTGAGCTCTTGGGCCTAGACTAAAACGATCTCCTCTCACAATCTTTATTTACCATCTCTCTGTCCCCTCTGTGTCCTTACTTCCTGATATCCCATTAGGGTCTGTTTTTAGTCCTAGTTCCACCATTTCCTCCTTTTTCTTCTGCTTTGTCCTTTATTTTTCAAACTACATTTTACATTTCTTCTTGCTCTGCTTTCTCTTCTTTAACATAGACCTGCACTAGAGTGGCCACTAAAATCCACATGACAAAATTGACATTATGCTGTCTTGAAGCCTCCTCTACCAAAGAACTGAGTCCTCTACTCCTAAAGTTAGCCTAGGCAAGTTCATAGAAGGGAGGAAGCCAGCACATTCTTTGCTGGAATGTCACAGATACACTCACTAGCCCATCTGCTGCTGTTGCTCTCTAAAACCTCTTGAACTGGCCTTCCGAGTCCATGTTGCTCTCAGCTCTGGCTCTCAAGCTCCTACTGAGATAGTCCATTAAGCTCTGCTTACAGATTTCGCTCACTTTTCTAGTCCAAAGTTCCAAAGCCTTCCACATTCCTTTAAAAAAAAAATGGCATCTGTCACAGCAACAGCCCCACTCCTGGTACCAACTTCCATATTAATTATTTTTATATCACTGTGATAAGCACCATGACCAGAAGCAATGTGGGGAGGAAGGGGCTTATTAAATCATATGGATTTATTGAGTCATCCTGGAGAGAAGTGAGAGAAGTGACCCTCAGGGCAGGAACCTGGAGACCAGGACTGAAGCAGAGGCCATGGAGGAATACTGCTTCCTGGCTTGCTCTCCGTGTCTTGATCAGCCTTTCTCATTTAACTCAGCACCCCCTACCCAGAGGTTTGTATGGTGTCCTGTGGGCTGAGCCTTCCCATATCAATCGCTAATCAAAGAAATGTGCCCACAGACTTGTCCACAGGCAATCTGATGGACGCATTTGTCTTAACTAAGGTTCTTCTTCTCAGATAAGTCTAGCTTGTGTCACTTGACAAAAATCCAACCAGGACAGTCACTGAGTCTGAAGCTCATCAAGATTGCTAGATTTCCTGGCCCATGAGCTTCAGGAGTCTGCCTGTCTCTGCCCTTACCTCTCTCTCCAGGACACCCAGTGTTTTAGGTGGGTCTCAGGAATCCAAACCCAGGTTCTCATGATCACATTGCATGTTCTTTGCCCACAAGTCATCCTCCCGGCCCTCATTCTTTCCTCTCAGTTGTCATGTTCTGAATTTGTGGGAGTTCTTTTATTTCATCATACCTTGACCTTGTCTCATGTTTTCTGCGTCTTCTCTTACCTCCAGATACTAATTCTAAGTAACTTTTCATCCCCTTGTATGGTTCTTACTTATTCTAAACCACCCCTCCCTCCATACACCTGCTTCTATTTTAGAGACTGAGGATTAAAGAATTGATGATTTACTATGAACATCTAGAGAGACTTTGTCCTCTGAGTGCTGTTTGGGATGCTCTAGCATGGGTAATTCCAATGTTAGTATCTCCTGATTATTTCCTACAGACTGGTCAGATTTTCTTAGATAGATAGATAGATAGATAGATAGATAGATAGATAGATAGATAGATAGATAAATGAAAATAAAAAGTCTACCCTCCTGCCAAGAAAAGAAAGGACAAAGGTCTTGATGATCATTATATAATTTTCCCTATTCTTGCTACATTTATTTTTTACTCCTATTTGACTCTTGTCCACAGCTTCCATTAGACTGTAAGCTCCACGAGGCCATTGCTTGGGTTTGTTCTTGTTTTGGGGTTCCCTTATCTATAGTGGCTATTATAATCCCTGATGCACAGAAGGCACTAAAGCATCTGTTGGATGACTGAACCAACTCTCGCTTTGTTGGTTCTGGAGCTCCTGCCCAACCATCAATGCCTAACACAAATGCTTCCTCCTTTATGAGACGCTAGAGGCTCTCCAAGGCAGTTTTGGTACTCTGTCCTGCTTGGATTGTATGCGCACCTGCGGTGATTCAAATGAGAAGCTCAGATATTTGAGCACTTGGTCCCCAGTGGTTGGCACTGTTTGTGGGAAGTGATGGAATGACCTTAGGACAATTAGAAGGTGCAACCTTGATGGAAGAAGTCGGTCACTGGGAGATAGTTTTGAGTGATTACAGCCTGACTCCATGTCTCTCTCCTCTCTCTCTGCTTCCTATGTGTGGGTGAGATGAGAGATGTGATCCCCCAGCTTCCTGTTCTGCCTGACTACTGCCACACCTCTCCTCACCATCATGGACTCTCCCTCTAGAACTGTAAGCCAAAATAAGCTCCCCTGTCAGTTGCTTTTGGTTATGCTTTTTTTTTTTTTTTTTTTTTTTTTTTTTTTTTTGATACAGAATTTCTCTCTGTAACCCAGGCTAGCCTCAACCTCAGGATGATCCCGCCTTATCCTCTGAGTCCTGGGATTTGAAGTGTATAACCCTGTCAGATCTGATCAATCTGTTTTTCTCTAGGCCCATAGTTCCTAAGAACTGAGGCTGACTCAATGTTAGGTCTGAGTGGTGGAGCCCCTTCCCCGTCTAGTTGAAGAAAACAAAACAGAACAACAACAACAAAAAAAACAGCCCCTGACTTTCTCTAATCTCCTTTTCTATATCTTCTTTTGGCAAATGTATTTGTGTTGGGATATTTATGTCCACAGGAAAAGAAGCCGTTCAAAGGGAAACAGAAATTTGGAACCCTTAACAACTTGAAATGAAATCAGCATGGGAAATGTTGTTCTCTGAGGACACTTAAGTCACTTCTTATGTTCTGGAAGCTGAGAATTAATGGTCATTAGGGAATATTTTTGTTATTAGCAGCTCTTCTTGCTGGATTCCTTAAAATAGTTCTCTTGTCTGGACTGAAAGGACTTTAGGGAGTCTTGAGCCTGGAACCAAGACTTCCTGGACCTCGTTGGCAACCTCTTATGCCTGCTGTGGATCTGAGTGGATGACAGCAGGCTTCTTCACTAGTGGCCTCAGGACCAGGCTCACTGAGACCAGGAGCCATGTAAAGTTGTGGCTTCTCTTCCTTTGATGTGAAAGCAGGAGGGTCACACTGCTTTTTCAAGGTGTGAGAGCTGAGCTGCCCGGTCTCATGGCTGGTGCCATGTTTAGCAAACGTTGGCTGTTGTCATGATTCCTCAGTGGGCCCGAAACTCCATGCTGGGGTCATATCATGAGGTGATGTGTTTCTTGAAAACAGGTCAATTTGGAACCAGAGGAACAATAGCAAACATCTGGAAACATTCATTCAGCTAGTCAGCTGGAAACAGAAGAAGATGGGTTCGCGTTAAGACAGGAAGCTAAAGAGTGCTGACTGGGCTCAGTCAGCACATTCATTACCTCAGGAAAAAAAAAACAGACAAACAACGACAACAAACCAGACATCTCAGTAGAAAGCAACCAGGGCAGTGGGCAGAGAGCGTGAACAATGAAGAGAGGCTGAGTTCCGAATCCCCAGGAAACATGCAGCAGGGTTCTCAGCATGGCTAGGAATGGAAACCATGTTTATCTCTGCAGCGCTGGGACTGAATCTAGCTAAGCCTTGAGTATGCTAGCCAGGTGCCCTACTGCTGAGCTGCTTCCCGGACAAGAAGGACATGTTTAATCATGGTCAGATATCAGTTTGCATAGCACGGTGGTAGCTGTAAAGATAAATGCATTGTTTAGTACTTTCAATCTTCCCAGGGGAGCATAACACCATTACACATAGCTGAGAGTCCCAGTGTGAACCCTCTGTCCCGTTGTCCTGAGTTAAGATTTCTATTGCTATGAAGAGACACCATGACCACAGCAACTCTTATAAAGGAAAGCATTTTATTGGGGCTGGCTTACAGTTCAGAGATTTAGTCCATCACCGTCGTGGTGGGAAAGGAGGCGGCTCGCAGTAAGAGACGGTGCTGGAGAGGAAGCTGAGCGGTCTCCACCTTGATGCACAGGCAGCAGAAGGAGAATGTGAACCCCTGAGCCTGGGTTTAAGCATCTGAGACCTCAAAATCCCACCCCCACAGTGACACCCTTCCTCCAATAAGGCCACACCGCCCCAGAACCAGACCACGCTTCCTAATAGTGCTGCTCCCCGGGGGCCAAGCAGTCAAACACATGAGTCTATGGGGCCTTTCTTATCCAACCCAGCACGCCCCTGTACAGAAAAGTACATGTGCGCTCACCCCAGAATGAAAGCAACCAAACGAACAAAACACAGCCTAGTAAAAATGTTCACTGAACTAAAGCCCTGGCAGAGTCTGGCTAGAAATCCTGAAAATAATGGCTTTCTCTCTGGGCATGCTCCTCCTGCCTAGCTGTTTTTAAGCCTTTGTAGGATGGTCAGATGGCTCATTTCTGGAGGAGTCTCCCTATCCCCAGGCAACTTGCTCTGGGCTGCCGATACCCACCATGGGGCCCCCCCACATGATTAATTCCTCTTTTTTTTTTTTTTTTTACAGATATGCCCTTTGCTTTTTGTACACGAGAGAAACTTCCTTGGACGGAGTTTGCTGAGTCGGCGGAGGATGGGCCCACCACCAGGTTCTGTCAGAAGGTGAGAAGTTAGCTGTGCTCCTGGGCTGTGGCTGGCAAACCCACGCAGGTCTCGAGCACAGCCGAGGCTGTCTGAGAGGTCCCTTTGCTGTGGAAAGCATGTACCAGATAAGAGTAGATAGGACTTCGACATTCCTACTGTTGTAGACTCTACTTCCGCTTAAGATCATAGTTTTAGAGCTAGGATGGCTCTTGCTGGCTTTGTTCCGTGACAGAGTTGCAACCCGGGGAGGGATGGTTTGGAGTGACTTCATGGTGGAGCTTGCACTGCAAGGGGGGTGGACATTTCTCTTTTCTAGGCCTTTTTCCTACCCACTTGCTTCCACGTATGGTCCGTCCCGTAGTGTAGAAACTGGTTTTCATTTTTCCTAATAGAAAACCTTGTTATGCATGAGATCTGATCCCAATTATCCGAGATGTTCAGAATAACCAAAACTCTGAAGGCAGGAGGGGAAAAAAAAGTCATGGCAAGAGGGTGAGGAAAGAAGGGGGTGGGGGTGACTGCTAACGGGTGATCAAAATGTGCCAAAATTAGCTTGTTGTGACTATTGCACAACTCTGGAAATATACTAAACACCAGCAGCTTATTTATACACCTTAAAAGAATGATTCTGAGCCTAGAGAGATGGCTCAGTGGTTAAGAGCACTGTCTGCTCTTCCAGAAGCCCTGAATTCAATTCCCAGCAACCACATGGTGGCTCACAACCATCTATAGTAAGATCTGGTGCCCTGTTCTGGTATGCAAATGTATGTGTATATATATATATATATATATTAATGTATCATGTTAAAAAGAATGATTCTGGCCAGACCTTTAATCCCAGGACTCTGGAGGCAGAGGCAGGTAGACCTGTGAGTTTGGGGCCAGCCTGGTTTACAGAGTGAGTTCCAGGACAGCTAAGATTACACAGAGAGACCCTGTCTCAAAAGAAAGAAAGAAAGACAGACAGGAAGGAAGGAAGGAAAGAAGAAAGGAAGGAAGGAAGTAAAGAAAGAAAGAAAGAAGGAAGGAAGGAAGGAAGGAAGGAAGGAAGGAAGGAAGGAAGGAAGGAAGGAAAGAAAGAAAGAAAGAAAGAAAGAAAGAAAGAAAGAAAGAAAGAAAGAAAGAAAGAAAGAAAGAAAGAAAGAAAAGAAAGAAAGAAGGAAGGAAAAAAGAAAAATTGATCCTGTGCTATGTAGATTATATTGCAGTAAAGCTGTAATCGGAAAAACCGGTGCTCCCCAAGAAATTGTGTGTGATAATGTGTTCTGCTTCTCAGCTCTAGCAGCAACACTTTCTGTTTTCATTCAGACTTTGCACTATACTTAAGGGAGTCTGGGGCAGAGTCGTAATCTTAGTGGTTTTTATCAGTACCAAACTGTGACTCTAAACATCCGTTCCCTCAAGTTACGGGGGAAAACCTCTCATGGAGTTATTGATTCATTGCTGCGACAGAAGAAAGGGGACTATTTCCGTTGGTAAGCCTAGATTAGGACGAGAGGAAGAGTGTTCTTAGAGCTGGTGCCAGAGAACACTTGTCAACCTCAGAAGGGACCAGAGGCCCTCATTATGGCCACAAGTAATGAAGGCTTAGATAGTGTTGAGGACAAGTGACCATCTGAAGTTACTCACTTAGTCAACAGGTCCTGATGTTCATATTGGATAGAAAAAATTTAGTGCCTGCTGTGGCTTAATATGTTCTCCAAAACTGGTCAGAAAATTAATTTGTAAAACAAGCATGAGGAGGTGCATTGTAAAGGTGGTCAGGCCATGAGGATTTAGCTCTTGCCAGTGGATTTGCATCAGTTATCCCCAGGGTGTTTTTCTTGTAATAAAAGCAAGCTCAGCCTCCTCGTACCCTCTCACCCTCCACTATCAGACTGTTCAGCACAGAGGCCCAGTAACTGCTGGCTGCTGCATGCTTGACCTGGGGTCCAAGAACTCCAAGGAAAATCTCTGTTCTCTGTGAGTTGCTCGGTCTCTGTTATTCTGTTGTAAGAACGCAGAACAGACTGACTGGCAAGATATCTTAGTATAGATGAGAAGAACAATGATAATTCCTTAAGAATCTTTTTGAGACAGGGTCTTACTCTAGGGTTAGTAGTCCCTGGGAATATGTTTCCCAGCCTAGTCCCAGCTTCATAATTTTCTCACCCCAGCCTGCCAAGTCCTAGGATCACAGGTGTGAGCTACCATGCCTGACCCCTTACTGAATTTTTTTAATATCTTTCATTTATTCCTTGACAATTTAATACATGTATACAGTGTGTCTTGATCCCATGAACCCCTCAGTTTTCCCTTCCCACTCAATAGGACACCTCCCAACATGGCCCCCACAGCCTTTGAGAGCACTCCTTGGTTTTGGTAACTCGAGTCCGACTCATAATCTGTTATTATATGAAGAACATAAAATTTTTCATCCGCCATGCTTTTGCCTGTATGGCTCAACTCTGTAAAATGTGTGCCAGCTGCTGTGCCACAGACTATCAGAATCCTTTCAAACACTGTGTCCATTAGAGAGTCTCCTGGTGCCTTTTTCCTCCAGCCCCTGAGAAGCAAATTCTACTGTCCATGTCTGTGACTTTCATTTCCCTAGGATTCCTCCACAGGTGAAAAATCCTGTGTTGCCTTTCAACACCGTGTTATCATTTAGCATCATGCCCTCAAGGTCCATCAGCCTTATAGCACGGGATGGAAATTCCTTGAAATTCCTTGCGTGACATGGGTGGAGAGTATCTCATTTCCTTCATGCACCACATTTTGTTCAGCCCTTTACTGAACAAAGCTGCTTCTTTTGCTCTCAATAGCAAATAGCGCCTCTCTGAATATCACTGCATAGATCTGTCTCACTGACACCTGCTTTTTCAGTCTTTTAGGTGTGCGTACACATGTGGTATTGTGTCACAGTTCCCTGTTTAACATTAAGGAGCAGCCATAGAATTACCTAGAAGCTCTAAGTCTAGAGTTCCTGTATCATTTTATATTCTCATCCCAACATTGTGCAAAGATGTTCTCTCTCTCTCTCTCTCTCTCTCTCTCTCTCTCTCTCTCCTCTCTCCCCCCTTCTCCATGGTCTCACTATGTAGTCCTGGCTGGCCTAGAACTCACGGTGTAGACGAGGAGGGCTTCATGAACGCTAGAATTAAAAGATACATGCCATATTTGGCTGTTGATTATTCTTTTATAAGCAACTGTAGGGCATCAAGACAACAGCAGCATTTAGTATTAAAAAAAATAATAATTGCTTTAAGTGATAGCTGCAAACTAAGTCCGGTTATTTAGAAACATCATTAAATCCCTCTGCAGTTAAACAGTGTTGTAACCATTTGCCTGAGAGAGGAACTTCACGGTTTTCAATTCCCCAGCTGGCAAAGAGACACAACATGGTGGTGGTGTCTCCAATTCTGGAACGAGACGGAGATCACGGGGGAGTTTTGTGGAACACGGCTGTGGTGATCTCCAACTCGGGACTGGTCATGGGGAAGACCAGGAAGAACCACATTCCCAGAGTGGGTGACTTCAACGAGGTGAGTGCCAGTCAGAGCTCAGTGGGCCTTCCTCGGGGAGAGGTTCCGTCCCTGACGTGTGTGACACCATGGGGCAGTACTGGTGGAGCATCCAGAGAGTCTGAGAGCAGTGCCCTGCATCATGAGGACAGATGAGATAGCCGAGTCACAAAAAATTTTAGCTGCACGGGATTTATACATGTGTGTTGTATGTGTTTGCGGTAACTTGACTTTCTGCAAGATTCCCGTGGGGTCATTGGTGCATAGACTAAAATGCAAGCAAACAGTACACAAATATGAAATTACTCCTGCAGGCCCCTGTAAAGGGGCTCTGAGCTCCTAGGCAACCATGATATAGTCCTGGTTTTAGTGGGTTGTATTCTTTGTGACTTACATGGTGTCTAAGTTGGCTCGTGTTCAGGTAGGTGTCTGTTGGCATATAATCAGTGGTGGTTATACGGGACTTCTTAAGCTCATTGGAGATAGGAATTCTAGAGAAGGGCTGTTTTGCTTGGCAAATGCCAATTCTTAAGTGGTGAGATGGAATGGGGGGGGGCATTTGAAAGAGGAAAATGAACTCTACGCAATGCCAGGGTACTGAATCTGGATTTGAACTTGACTTTTCAAAAGGGCTAATAGCTCGGGATATGCTGCTCATGAGCTCCCCACAGCTCATCCTTGGTTTGGAGAATTCATGCCCCTCTCGGGCTGATCAACAAGGTGAAAACCATTCACAGGGATCCAGGGAGACACCGAGCGGGTGTTTCTAAGTAGCGGCTGGAGGTGGGGTGAGACAGATTTACCCCTCGCCTGTTTACCCTGGGGTTAATCTTTAGCTCCCTGCTTATTTCACTGGGCTGAGAACAGCAGGATCTGAGCAGGGTTCGCTACGAGTACATATCCTGGTTGCTGCCTGACCCAGCCAATTTTGAAATGAGTGAGAGAAAGGCAAAAGCTCCCGGAGCAGATCTGTCTGGAACCTGCCTTGCCTTCTAACCTCCCCTCAACTATATCCCCATCAAGTCCGGGGATAGGCATCCTCGGGGCTCAGGTGGAAAAGAAGGGAGGGGAGAATGAGGATGCTACTGGCCTGGCCTGCAGGGGTGTCCTCAACCCTAGGCAGGACACCCAGGCTCCCATGTGGAGGGTATGGGTTCCACTCTCAGATTTGGTCTTGCTCAGCTGGGAAAGTCCCAAGCCAATTCAAGCGACACACAGTTTCCAAAAAGGGCGAGTTTCCCTGGGTGAGTCTGGGCCCTTCACCTCTCCGTTTTCTGCATGAGGATATGCGGTTGGAGAGGACTCCTAGTAACCTCCGCCCAACTACAACCTTCTCTTGTATCCTGATTGAAGCCTTACCGTAGGTTATCCTGGAAATCACGTGCTAGACCACCAAGCAGGTTGTGGGTTAAATAAATACTTAGGCCGTTGTGGCTTTGTTATTGGGTCTGGGTTTTGTGTGTGCCCTGACACACCGAAATTCTGGAACTTGAAATAGAGTCAAGCCCAAACGTTCCTTCTAGCTTACTGGTGGCGTTCCCTTCTAAGGGAAGCAGAAGCGTTCCTGCTCTGGGGCGCCAGCGTACAGCTCTTTGTGGTTTTTCAGTCCACCTACTACATGGAGGGCAACCTGGGCCACCCCGTGTTCCAGACCCAGTTTGGCAGGATCGCGGTGAACATCTGTTACGGGCGCCACCACCCCCTCAACTGGCTCATGTACAGCATGAACGGCGCTGAGATCATCTTCAACCCCTCGGCCACCATCGGAGAACTCAGGTCACTCGGGGGTCTTTCTGGGGGGCTCATTTGCTGCTCCAGGTCCAGGGTCAACCTGTGGGTTTCCGGCATGGGTTTGGTAAACTGGGGGAAGCGGGCGTGAGCACTGGTCTAGATCCCAGCCCAGTGACTGGATGTTGCACATTTAACCAGCTTTTCAGTGGGAAAGAAATTGCTCAGTGTGACCATTGCAAAATCTGATCTCCCCAAAGATTCGCCCTACCATTGGGCGCGACCTTTTCTGGGATTCTGAACACTGGGGACAAAGGTAATGTGCCCACATTCCTGCAGGACTTCTAAGCGGAGCCAGCAGGAACTCCTGTCAGGGGTCTTCGGGATCCTGAGCCTTAACTCCGCCACGCCCAGCAGGAAGGGGACTCCTCCAGGGGAGTGGAGCAGAGGAATAACCCCTCTGCTCTATGTTAACCAATGAAAAGTCTCCCTTTCAATGTGCGGAACAGGAAGTGTTTGGCTCTGCGCCCTGTCTGTAACATAGGTAAAACTGCTTTGTTGTGGTGTTGCTGGGGGTCGCGGTAGGTGAGCGCACAGGACTCCAGCCAGATTCGGTGGTGAATGCCCGGTAATCCCAGCACTTAGGGAGACAAAGGCAGGCGGATCTCTGTGAGTTTGAGACCAGCCTGGTCTACAAAGGGAGTCCAGGACAGCCAAGGCAACACAGAGAAACTCTGTTTCAGAAAAACAAAAGAAGGGGCTGGAGAGATGACTCAGAGGTTAAGAGCACTGGCTGTTCCAGAGGTCCTGAGTTTAGTTCCCAGCCACCACAGGGGGGCTGACAACCATCTATAATGAGATGTGGTGCCCTCTTCTGGCATATAGGCACACATGCAGGCAGAACACTGTATAAATAATAAATACAGAATTAAATCTTAAAAAAGAAACAAAAGATTCCAGTTGACATATATTGGCATAAATGTAGCCTCATTCTGTGCCAGAATCTAAAATTATGGTGTCTACCTGACTTTCTGACAGTCTTTATTCTCCCCCTGAAACTTCGCCAATAGAGTCTTAACCACCTGAATTTATATTAGCATTCAGGTCTTTTAAACTCTGACCAAATTGGCCCATTAACTTCCCCTACCATATTCTTTGGCGTGTCAGGTTCCACAGCTCCAAATTTCAGTGTTCCCTCAAAAGGCCTACGAGCCAAACAGCCAGGGTCCTCAAAGCAGAGGCCCCACTTCCAGTATCAGTGATCTGAATAGCCACTTTTCAAAAGCCAGACAAGAAGGAAGTCAAAGGCAGTAGGGTTTATTTTGAAAGCGTGTGGTTTCATGGTTCAGCCCACCGTGCCAGGAAAAGCATTGACAGCGGGAATGTGAGGTCTGATTCTGGAGGAGGAAGAAGAGAGATTAACACCGCTGTCCACTAGCTTCTTGCTCCGTCCTTGTCTTCAGTCTGGGACTCCAGCTCATTGGCAAGGGACCACCCAAGTATGGGGATAAAGGTGGGGCCCTCCTTGGTTAAGTCTCCTCTGCAAAGAGCCTCATCAATATTCTCAGAAGTGTATCTCCTAGGTGATTCCAAATTACACTACAGGTTTTAAAAAGCTCTAGGAATTTACGTGCACACATCCCAACCTGGAACTGCCTTCCTCCAGAGCCTGACGGATGGGTACAGCAGAAAGTGCTGGCTTCCATTTGGTGGCTATGATGTCTGCATTCCGTCCCAGTAGGGTCGGGGGTCATGGGAAAAGCTCCTCGCTCTCAGTGGATTTTCATTCAGTTTCATCTAAATCTCAGATGCAACTTTTAGTTGGCTTGATGCTCCTTTCTTGGATAGCATCCCTCCGAGTTCAGAATCGTCACAGCAAGGCCCCTAAGAGACCTAGAATGTAGTTCTCCAGCCGCTTTTGCTAGGTGCATGTGGAGCCGCGTTTGGGTAGAAGGAAAAAAGGTCAGACTTTGGATTTTCCCCTCAGGGCTTCCCACTCAGAAAACAGATGTCTCGTGGTGCTTTGAATCCACATAACTGTCCGTTGTCAGCTGAAAGCCAAGATGGTCATTGGTCACCCGTCCTGTAGGTCTTAGTAGAACCTTGGGGCCTCCTCGTGGGGTATCCCCATTCTACCAGCTGTGTATAAGATCTAGAGAGGGACGGGAAAAATAGCTTAGAGGGTGAAGGTGCCTGCTACCAAGTGTGATGGCCTGAGTTCAATCCCCGGGACCCGCACGGTAGAAGGAGAGAGCCAACTTCTTCCAAGCTCCAAATGTGTACACAGAGACAAACAAATACATGTAATTAAAAAAAATTTGAAGACTTCGGGGAGGGGAGCTCCGTCTTTCCCCTCAGGCTTCCCTAGAGGAACCTGAAGTTCACTTCCTGGGCGCATGGGTGTGAACCGGTTTCTGGGAAAACCCAGAAGGCTGCCTGATGTTATGTAGGCAAAGATCCGCCCCAGCCTCTTATCTTGAGCTTTTCTTAGCTTCAGTTTAGCAAACAGAAGCAATCCAATGTCATATGACTGTAGCTTCTTATGTCCACAGCAGCCTTAATGAAAGTGATTGCTTTTTCCTTCCCTGGCCAAGAATTGCCCAACCTTGAGCTTTTGAGGGTGTGGTGAGCGGGCGACGCTGTGCCCGTCTCTGGGAAAGCAGAGTGTACCATGGGATGAGCCTTTGAGTTCATGCCCTTTAGCCAGTTAATGGTACTTCCGTAACTGTGGCCTAAGGAAGTGATGTCAGAGAGAGTGAAGTTTGTGCGGGAGATGTTTGTGGCGGTAGGTTTGGCGTCCGTAATAGAGACACTGGCGACAACAGAAATGTCAAGGGTTAAATAAATTTCAACCTATTTCTTCTATGGGTTGGTGACACTAAACTGAGTCATTCTGAAGCTAATGTAGCGTGGCGATAAGATCTGTGAGCAATGGGAAGATGTGACATATGTCCCTGCTATATGTGGTCAGAATTTGGTGACTTGTAAGGCTGAGTGGGGGTGGGGACTGTGGGCAAGGATAGTCAAAGAGAGTGGAAAAGTGATAGCAACTAGTTTATTAGGCTGGTGGGCATGCTGGGAAGTTTTCTTTAATATATGATTTTTGCATAAATGATCTCTCTCTCTCTTTCTTTTTCTTTCTTTCTTTTTTTTTTTTTTTTTTTTTTTTTTAAGTACAGCGTTAAGAGACCACTATGTCATGTCATGATTTCCAAGCCCATCCCACCCGGGCCATGCACTAGCTCCCCTAAACCCGTAGCTTCTCTCTGACACTCACCAGCCTTCTGTTGCATGACCGTTATAGAACTACACTATGAGGAACATCCTCTTCCTGGTCATTCAAGCTGCCTCATCTCCCTGGAGGGATGTCTTGGGGGGAGAATGAGACTTGGGACAAAGGTTTGATACGGGGCTGTCTGACCCCCAGCACACTGGGGCCACACAGATTCTGCCCCTAGGAAGCTGCTGCTGATTAAGCAGGCAAAGTGCTGATGGGCTGCTGGTCAGCTTGGCTGTCTTGTTTCCAGCCTGTGTTAGCTAGCTCAGGCGGTCCTGGCCCTTGCTGGGTAACCCGGACTGGTTGCCTCAGGCTGGTGCCATGCCCAGCTCTGCTCACAGCTGGCCTGCATCTCAGAGGTGAGAATCTGTGGCGGGGCTGAGGAGTCTACAGCCTGCTCTTCCTTGTCCTCTCGCAGTGAGTCCATGTGGCCCATCGAAGCCAGAAACGCAGCCATTGCCAACCACTGCTTCACTTGTGCCATTAACCGTGTGGGTCGGGTATGTGTCTGAGGTAGAGCTGAGGAAAGGCCCACTGACTGCTGGCCCCGAAGGGACGCTCCACCTGTCTTCTCGCTCCTTCTGCATACACGCCACAAATTTGGGGGTACCGAGAGGAAATGGCTTGATCTGGTACTTTTCTTCTGGGTTTTGGCTTCTCCTCTCCCCTCCCCTCCTCTCCCTCCCCTCTCTTCCTCTCCTATCCCCTCTCCTCTCCCCTTCCCTCTGTTCCCCTCCCCTCTGCTCTCCTCTTCTCATCTTGCTTCTCCTTTCCTCATCTTGGCTTTCTCCTCCCCTCCCCTTCCTTCTTCTCCTCTCTCTCTTCTCTCTTATTCAAGGCGAGGCTTTACTTCCGCAGGCAGGCTGACCTCACATGCATTTCCCAGCCCTGAGAACTGTGGGTACCTAGTGTCTCCCTGCTCCAGGATTATAAACCCAAACTTGCCTGTCCCCTTCCTTGCTGGCTTCCTCACAGCCCATTGCTGGCCTGCGGAACAGTGAACAAACTCTTGCTGGTTGTCCCGTGAGTGCAGACCCTTGGCTCCCTTAAACTGTTTCCTGCCTGGGCTCCTTGCTTGCACTTGGTCTGGCTGAGGGATCTGGAATGACTGTCCTGGTGCTGCCACCTAGAGGTTTACCTTGGCATTGCACTTAATTCACAGGAACACTACCCCAATGAGTTTACTTCTGGAGATGGAAAGAAAGGTATGTTCCTGAACTTCCCTGTCGGTGGGCCTCAGCTCCTCCTCCCACCCCCACTCCATTCCACCCACTCACTCTGGGCAGGGTCTGCTCCCAGCCTGTGCCTGCACTCTGGCCACCTTGGAAGGGAACACCCTTCCTTGCATGTAGTGTGTGAGTCCATGGCTAGGGTGTGGATCCTTCATGCGGGGGGCACCTTGTTCCCCAAGTGGGGATCAAATGGGAGTGGAACTGGCCTCTCTGCCTCCTCAGGACTATGTGAAACTGGATCATGAAGATATGAGGGGGCCTTTGTGAGCTCTCTAGAAGGGGAAGGGGGACTCTCGCATAGGTCCCCATCTTTCTTCTTTCTCCCCCCGCCCCAGCTATAATGATGACGTCCCCTGAGTCAGCATAGGTTGTCATGGGTTCAGGAGTCCTCAGGGCGTTGTGATCTGAGGACAACAAGCAACACACCTCTGCTAGAAGTCCGCACCCTGAGGTCGAACCTCTCTAGCCAAGACTGTGAAAGGGAAGGACTGCTTTAGTTCACCAAAGGGGTGTTTCAGCTGGCTGGCTGGGTCCCCCTCAGAAAGACACGGGAGGACGAACAGAACTGTCACCTAGGTCCCACCCTCTGTAGGCCCAGGCGGCAACCCCCACTTACAGGACTTCCCATCCCAGATGCGCCCTGACAATGGACAGGCAGAAGATGTGGGAAAGGGAGTTCTGGCCCTGTCTTAGAGGGGCCACCTCACCCCGCTGTGGCGGCCTTTAGCTCTCTGTGGCTGGTGAAGGGCTTGGGCATGCAGAAGAGGGTTAAATCTACAAGCTCCGGGACAAGAAGGGTGGACCATACAGGACAATGGGCAGGTCCACTACAGGAAGTGTGTCACACTAGAGCTGGACGCTCCCTTTGGATTTGGGCAGCTTCTGTTGAAAGTGAAGGGCTAGCCCACCAAAATGTGACAGACACCTAGACGTGTTCCCAGGGCTAGGTGAGAGTGACATGAAAGCTAAGCCCTGCCTCCCTCCTCACCTTTAGGCCTGAGGAGGGAGACTGGCAGTTGGCAGGCACCAGGGTGCCGTTCTGAGTACTTTTCTCCCAGGTGTCCTGCCACGTGCCAGCCTGCCTCCCCTTCTTCAGAGCTCACGCTGTGTACAAGCTCATGGCCACTCCCCCTTGCTCCCTAAAGCTCATCATGACCTTGGCTACTTCTATGGCTCGAGCTATGTGGCAGCTCCCGATGGCAGCCGGACCCCGGGCCTCTCACGCAATCAGGATGGGCTGCTGGTCACGGAGCTCAACCTCAATCTCTGCCAGCAGATTAATGATTTCTGGACTTTCAAGGTGGGTACCCGAGGCCCTGGCTGTGGCCCTGCTCCTCTGCTTTGGCCTCCATCCAGTCTTGCAGCTGCAGGGACTTCAGGTTTGCTCACACAGGCAGCTGGGAAGAGGCACCAGCTCCCTCGAAATGCAGCTCTCTTCTGAGCAGAAGGCCAGGGCTGTGCTGGCCGTGGGCATGGAGCTCTGTGTGGACTGACGTGCAGGCAGAAGATCTCAATACAATCTCCCTTCATTTGATTTAGATTCTAGGCGTCCTCGCCCAAATTAATCTCAATTTCATTTGTCTAGAGAATGCAGCGGGTTGGCTTCTGTCGCCTGTTTTTTTTTTTTTTTTTTTTTCCTTCCCTTTCCAGGCATTTGCACTTGTCACAAGATAAATGTGCATATGTCTAGTTCTGCCTGCGTCCAGGCTCCACCGTCTAGGCATTGAGACAATAGTGGGAATGAGGTCACGTGGGAAAACTGGCTCCTGGCCTGGCTCTGACTCTATCTTTTGGAGCAAGCATCTTCTGTCCCTCAGAACAAGGAACAGTCTCAAATGTTGCCTGTGGGGTCAGCAGTCTGAGAGTGCAGGTGCCTGCCCCTCTGGGCTGAGACAGCAGTGGCCATGGCCAGGACCCCTGGAAGGGCTCCCGACTACAAGATTTCTTACACTCACCTCGAACCGTTCGCAAAAGGAAAAAGAAAAAAGAACCTCCCACTCTGTGTGGCTTTGTGAAGTGTGGCTCGGGGAGTCCAGGTGTGCACTCTAGACCTTCCCCGAGTGTGAGTCCTTGCTCACATTCCAGAGACTCAGATGCTCGTCGTCGTCGGATAAACAAGACCCAGCCCGGGAGAAGGTCTTGTGACCTCCCCACCACCTTCTTGGGCAGCTTGGGGTTAACGCAGGATTCTGTTTCAGTCAGAAGTTAGAGCCAGGGTTGCGGCTGGCTCTCTGACCCAGTATCTCCGAGAGTGATAGGCAGAGCCTTTAGAACAAACGCCTTCCCCGGGGCGGGGGCTGGGAGGGTGCTGGGTGTGAGTTCATTTCCAGGCCATTGGGAGGGGCGGGCAGGGGGGGGGGGGATGTGAGGGAGGGCATACCTGAAAGTGGGCAGCTTTGACGGACCTCCCAGCATCCCTGGTCTCCATCTGTGTCTTGAACAAGGTGCTACTCGGAGCAGGCAGAGTTCCAATTCCGAGTCTTCTCTGCTGCTAGCTCTCCTCCATCCTGCCCTAAGCCTGACCACACCTCCTGCAGTCTTGACTGAGAGGTCAAGGTCAATTGGGAGAGACTGAGAATCATCACGCATTCATGAATTTTGCCGAAATCCATGTTGAGGTCACTTTGTCATTACTACTGTCTCAAATAGCCCTGTCAATCAGCATGATGGAGGCGTTTCTGTCCTGTGGCTGCCCCCTAGTGGCCAGAGGTGGTGGCGAGTAAGGGATAGATTCTTAAATCTCCCCAAGCCTGTATGTTTTCTTTTCAGATGACAGGCCGATTTGAGATGTACGCCCGAGAGCTGGCTGAAGCTGTCAAGCCCAGCTACAGTCCCAACATCGTGAAGGAAGACCTGGTTCCAGCCCCTAGCTCGGGTTAGGTCTGGGGACATCTCTGGCCCCAGTGGATAAGTTTTAAAATGTCTGGGGGGAGGGGGGGAGGGGGGGAGGGAGGGAGGGAGGTTTCAATACCCAGGCAGCAGGAGGGGGAATGGACTGGGCTAATGATGAAAGTGGGCTTTTTCTTCTGGGGACTTGGAAGTGTTTAGGGATTCAAAAGATGGCTTGACACTCTTGGGGCATCATTAAACGTAACCGGATTTCGTCCTTTTAGAAGCGGTTCGTTTTGTGCAGCGCAAACTCTATCTCAGGCTGAGAAGTTCCCAGGTGCTGTGAGCTCATCTCCAGGCCATTAGAAGGAGTTGGTCCAGAGGAGAATACGATGAGGGGATTCCTGGGAGGCAAAATCTTTGACAGATTTTCCAGTTTTCCAACCCCGGTTTCCGTTTGTGTCTGTGATGAGAAGCCGCATGGACCAGGCAGGCCTCAAGCCAGGTTCCGATTCCGAGTCTTCCCTGCTCCTACCTGGTGCCGTGCTCCTCTTGTCCATCCCAGTTCCATCAGCTCCTTGAGGGTCCGTTTGGAAAACTATACTAGTAGCAAGAGGGTGAGAGCAGATGTGAGTCACAGAGACCACAGCATGACTATGAGCAGGCAGGCTGCTCTTGGCATGAGCTGGGTCGAGTTAGCTACAGCCCAGTTACTCAGGCACACACAAACCTAGGTCATGCAAAGGTTTGGGGTGGGAGGCATGGTACTTCCCATTGTACTTCCAAAGCTGGTCTTGAAATACGACCCAGGATCAAATCATCATCCCACCATAGCCTTCGGAGTGGCGAGGACCACAGGTACGTGCCACCGTGCCCGGCACTGTGCAAAGGTATCTTACACAAATGTGCTTACAGTTTATAGCCTGTTGACTGAGTGGGATTGTGCCATAAAACTAGGGTGGGCCTCATTCCGTCTGTTTACAGTGCTAAAGAGCATCCTTGAGCCTTCTGTGGGGAGGAGGGAACTGTGTAAATACAGCAGGTTCAGGACTCGGTGAGAGGTCCAGTCTGCCTCCTTGACAGCCCCACCACTCCTCCCTTCACGTCTCCGAACATCTCCTAATACATAGCTATGAATTCTGCCTCAGGTCGGGTCTAACTGATCCCGAGTTTGATGCCAGAAGCAACCAAAGGAACAGAATCTTAGGGATGAGTCTTCCTCTTTGGTTCTGGCTTTCTGGGATTCTTTCCACTGGATTTGGTTTAAAGACTTTTTTTTTTTTAATGGTGAACAGGGAAGTAGTTGCCCATGACATGAAGGAAGCCATCAGAAACATCTTTGTGTAGGCGGATCACCAGATAGTTCCCAGGCGTCCCAGCCCGCCTTTTCCGGTGGCCTTCCCCGTGGGCCTCAGGCTTGTGTAACCAGAGTTTCCAGCATCCCGCCAGGAAATTCCTCGTACTAAATATTTTCTTTTCTTTTTTCATTCATATCTTCTTTTATTTATTACAATCTATTTACTTTGTATCCCAGCTGCAGCTCCCTCCCTAGCCCCCCCCCCACCTCACCCTCCCTCCCTTTTCACCTCCCATGAGATAGGTATAGTCAGTCAAGCAGCCGACCAGATTCCCCGAGTCAGCTGGCAGGGAAGGCTTGGGGAAGCTGTCGGTAGCTGTAGCTGCTTACTGCTGAAGCACGATGCAGCCCTTGAAGGTAACACCCCAGCCTCAACTCTCGCCTTCTGTGCTGCACCTACTGCCATCTCAAGTCTCAGTGAACTCTAGATGTCCCTGAAGCCCGACCGGAAGAAGTTCATTTCCCCTGGTGGCCTGGCAGGACTACTGTGGCTGGTGCAGAGGGGACAGGTACCACGATTGGAATAAAAACACAGCCTTTCCTTCAAACAAAAGCCCACGGCGATGGGTGCGAAACCCCTTTTCTGGCTATGGTTAGGTAGGGAGCTAACGGACACAGCCTTTGTCCGCCTCTTCCCTGCCTCCTGGTTTTAGCTTTGTTTTGGGTGTTGCTCATTCTCGCTGATGTTGAAGCTCTCTCCATTGTTGGGTCCTATGGCCACCTTTCTTGTGGCGTCACCTCTGCCACTGTGGCGGCTGCCTGCAGCTCCTTGGTTCTACCTCTTCTGTGGCTCTGGGCTACTCTGGTCATGTTGGTATCCTCTCCATCCGAGGAGCAAGCCCAGCGAGTGCTTGATGAGACCCATCACACACGTGACAAAGCAGAAAGCACAACTGTGATGTCGAGAAGTCCAGGTGTTAGCTCTCTGTTGCTATGAACTAGTCATGTGACCCTGGTTTAAACATGAAGCAGACGGAGGGACTTGGGGGGTTGACTCAGGACTGGGTAAGGAGATAGTAAGGGAGGCTACGAGAAGCCCCAGGGGAGGGAGAGGGAGGCAGGGGAGCTAAAGGCTCAGAGGAAGGAAGGACATGCTGGGCTAATGGGCTAATTGGATAATCCTCAGAGCTAGGGGCTGCCAGGCTGGAGCCAGCTGTTAGCAGCAGACAGGAGTAAGACATGTCTGCAGTGGGGACCGGAAGTCAGAAACTCATCCCTGGAGAAAAGTCTCAGTTGAGAACCCTAGCTGGCTGGCTTTATGTGGCTGCCTTCATCAGTTCCTGCCAGATGCTGTGAGCCTGGGTATGATGGTGTCGTCTTTGCTTGCTCTTTAAATCGGGCTGCTCCAGTCACGTGTGTTGAATGTTAGAAGCGAATAAAATATGAAGCTACACCTGCTCCTAGGTGTGGTTTAAGAGAAGGTTTATACTATAGATATGAGGGAGAACACATCCAGAGGCATCTGGAAGAGTCCAACCTGAACCAGGCCATGAGAGGAGAGAGAAGGCCAAGAGAGGAACCAGGAGCCAAGAGAAAGACCAAGAATAAAGAGGACATGTCGCCAAAATGGCTGAGTTATATTGGAGTCAGAGAAGCTGGGGGGAAGAGAGAGGTTTCGGGTTGAGGGCAGGGCGTACCAGCCAGGACAACTCTGTAACAGGTACGTGCTATGCTCAGAGCTTGTTGGCCAGTGTCCCAGTTGATGTGTTAATAGGAATCTCAATTAGCCATTTGTTACAAGTTACTTTGAGACTTAGCTCTAAGCACCTGATTTGAAGCAGGTGCTTGTCGTCTGCGTGCTATGTGCTGTTTGTTCTTTTGCTTCTGTTTTCTATGTGCGTAACAGAACTCATGCATTGGAAACTGAAAGTACAGCTGTTATAGATTGTTATCTAGACCACACAAAACACCGATTTAGAGATTTCACAGAATGTAAGTGAAAGGGCAAAGAGTGAACAGGAGTAAAATGCATCGCAACATCAGAACAACAGGGATTTTAGAAGCACCACAAAGAACATGAAACAACTGAAGAAGACATCCCAGAGCCAAAGGACATGAGTTTTCAATATGAAGGGGACACTGAGTGGCATCCCACGGTGACATTTCCTGTTGCTGAGACAGAAATCCTGCAGGGTCACACAGAGTCAGTGGTCAGAATGGCTTAGGCTCCCTCAGCAGCAGCCCCGGAGGGGTGAAGACCCCGGGCCGTGCTGGAAGATGATGGCTTCGCTGTCCTGAGGCAGGATGGCTTCTCACTGGAGCTGTGTTTGTAACCAAGCGTTAGCTACCTTCAGACAGGCAAGACTTTGAAGGACAGGACCTCACATATCCTCTCAGGAAGCTCCTGCAGCACCTATGTCATCGAGGAGGAGGAAGGGGGGAGAGCACAAAAGGAGAAGACGTGGAGTCCAGGAAGCAGATGCCCCATCACAGGAAGGAGGCAAGGGAATTCCCCTGGTGATGGTGAGGGGAGATCCCAGCATGGCGGCCACGAGGAGGGTCCTCAGGGTAGGAGCTCAGGCTCTAACAATCCTATGAGCAGCACAATGAAGAGAGATGGAGATAATGGGCAGAGATTGGGTGATAAGAGGGACTGCTGATAAGAGCCCAGAAACATAAATGCATGGAAAAACAAGATAAAACACAACCATGTTGGAGAGGTAGCTACTGCACTGCTTCCCTGAAACCAACATTTTATTGTCATAACAACAGAAATACTAACAACAGGCTAAGGAGATGGCTCAGGTGGTAAAATTCTTGCCCCAGAAACATGAGGACCTGAGTTTTGATTTCTATTACCTATGTAGAAAGCTGGCTGTGAGCCAGGCAGTGGCAGCACACGCCTTTGATGACAGCACTTGAGAGGCAGAGGCAGATCTCTGTGAGTTCAAGGCCATCCTGGTCTACAAATGGAGTCCAGGGTAGCCAAGGCTATAGAGAGAAACCCTGTCTCAAAAAAAAAAAATGGAAGGGAGAAAGAGAGAGAAAAGAAAGAAAGGAAGGAAGGAGAGAGAAAGAGAGAGAGAGAAAGAAAGAAAGAAAGAAAGAAAGAAAGAAAGAAAGAAAAGAAAAGAAAAGAAAGAAAGCTGGCCATGATATGTGATAGCATATGCTTGTAATCCCAGAGCTGAAGAGGAAGAGACAAGGATTTCGGGGACTTGCACAGCCAGCCACTTGGTAAGTTTAGTGGGGAATCCTGGCTCAAAAGTGAAGGTGCAGAGGGCTGGAGGAATGACTCAGCAGTTGAGAGTGCTTGCAAGCCGTGTCACAGGCGTGTAGAGGTGAGGCAGTGTTGCGCAGTTGGTTCTCCTCAACCTTCTCGTGGCTGGAAGGACCAGGCTAAGGTTTTCACCTTTGCATCTACCCACTCAGCTGCTTCACCAGCCGCTCTTCATTCTTAGAAATTCGGTAGGAATGGCGCCCTTTTGGAAGTTTATGGATGTGTAACTGTAAAATCCACTGAAAGTTAAAACCAGGATTGTCACGAAGAGTGGCGTCCACATTTGGGCACTGCCCAGTGTTTGTGAGCAGCCAAGTCTGAAGAGCCAAAGATGCCTTGAGTGTAAAAACAAAGCAAAACAGATGAAGTCCTATTGGTGTGGGCACAGCCAGGCCAAGGACGGGAGCTTCAGACCCACAGGAACCTTAGAGATCAGTGTAGTTATCTCTCCCCTGATCAAAGAAGCTTTTCTTTGCAGTACGTGGAGGCCATCACAGAAATCCCCAGCTGGACGCAATGAGACAT